GCTTGTCTGTCGTCTCAGGTGGGTCCCCGAGGTGAGCACACACCTTGGTATCTGTGCTGTCTTGTTTAATGACATTCAGGATTGTCCACTTGGCTTCCCCTCGGGGCCAGGAGGGGAAGATTGCTTATTTGTAGTCCTACTTGTAAACAACAAATTCATTGAACTGCATGTCTTCATGCTTTTAGCAACCCAGTACTTTGCTGTACTGTCTTAACCACTCACATTTCCAAGATGCTTTGGGCACATAATCTGGAAGGGACTTTAGCAATCTTTTAATTGAGTTCCCTTGTTTGAGAGATGAGGAAGGTGAGGTTGAAGGATAGAAAATGACCTGCTAAGGTCCTACAGGAATTTAAGGAACATGCCTGGAGGCGAAATCCAGGTCCTACCTCCAAATTCTGGGCTCTTTCCAGAACATTGCATAGTTAGCCCAAGTAAGGATTGTTATTCACATTTCTCAGAAGGAAACCAAAGAAAGCAATCTTACTTTGAAGAGCTATAGACTCTTGGACACCCAGAGTTGGAAGGGACCTCAGACACCATCTAATTTGATCACCTCACTTTACTGGTGAAAAAACAGACCTAGAGAAGGAAGTGACTTTCCTCACACAGGAAGAGGACTCAGGATTTGAACTCAAGAACTTTGACTCCAATTTTAGCTCTTACCATGCTGCCCTGCATACCTTTCCTGGAATAAACATGTGAGATAGTAAAAAGAAGCACTGAATTCGCCACTGACTCGCTGTGTGACCCTTTGGTAAATCACATCGCTTCTTCAAGGATGTTTCTCCATCTGTAATTTGGGAGCAATTTCTGCTCTGCCTGCCTTACAGGCTTGCTATCTGGGTCAAATGAGATAATGGATATGAAAGCAGTTTTAAAACTATAATGCATTATATAAATGCAAGAAATAATTATTGGTCTTGGTTCTGTTACTCACTTGCTGCGTGACATTGGACAGATACTCAACCTCTCTGTTTTTTGGTTTCTCTCTCTAGAATCACTAGTGCCCCACTTCATGGGAGAGTTTGTGAGGACAATAGGAGTTAATAGATTATAATGTCTTATATAGGAATCACAAGAACTTTGAACCATAGAAAGAGTGAGTCAGAAATTATCTGAGAGGACATCTAGTGTCACCCCCCCCCACCAAATGCTGGAATCTTCTCTATAGCATCACTGACAGGTGGATATCCACTCTCTATTTGAACCCTTCTCATGACAGGAAGTTCACTACTTTGGTAAAAGACAGTCGGAATTATTATAATTAGCATTTGTACAGTGCTTAAAGTATACAAGTTACTTTACTCACATTCTCATTTCAGTCTCATGATAACACAGTGAGGTTAACTGGCAGCTGGGTGGCCCAATGAGTGGATCGAGAGCTGGGTCTGGATTCAGGAAGACCTGAGTTCAAATCCAGCCTCAGGCATTTATTGATTGTATGTTAGTCACTTAACCTCTATCAGTTTCCTCAACTATAAAATGGGGATAATAACTGTATTTACATCGCAGGGTTTTTGTGAGGATTAAGTGCCGTAATATTTGTAGAGTGTTTCGTAAACCTTTAAGGGCTGTGTAAGAGCTATTATCATTATCACCATCATTTCATAAAACATTTTTGGAGAGTCCTAATTGTTAGTTGGGGGCAGTTAGGTGACCAAGTAGATAGAGCCCTGGGCTTGGAATCAGGAAGACTCATCCTCATGAGATCCAATCTGGCCTCAGACATTTAGCAGCTGTGTGACCCTGGGCAAGTCACCAGATCCTGTTTGCCTCAGTTTTCTCATCTGTAAAATGAACTGGATAAGGAAATGGTAAACCCCTTAAGTATCTTTGCCAAGAAAACCCCATGGACTTATCCATTGGGTCACAAAGAGTCAGACACGACTGAAATGACTGAAAAGCAATTATTAGCTCCTGCTCGTGTGATGACTTAAGACTTTTTCCACAAGGCAGTAATATAAATTCACTCTCGTTTGAGCCTCACGTTATCCCTAAGGAGGAGAAGAGGTGGGCAGGTAACATGGACTCAGAAATTTCTAGAATGTTAGAGCCGCAGGGTGACCTTAAAGATCAACTTGTCCAAAAATCTCATTTTACAGATTGGGAAAACTGAGGCCCAGCGAATGGAAATAACTTGTCTGAGATCACAGTTTGACTTTATAGAGGAGCTGGGGCTGGAAATCCAGGTATCCTTACTCTCAGACTCATGTCCTTCACCCATGCCCCATTCATTACTCCAATGATCATCATTATTTTTGGTAATTTCTAAAGCAAAGGTTTGCAAAATACTTCCCTCTCAACAGACCTATGAAATAGGAAGGGCACGTATTATTATCCCCATTTTACTGATGAGGACATTGAGACTCAGAGAAGTTATATAATTTGGGCTAGTAGTCATAGGAACTGGAACTTGAAGTCTGCTGAATTTAATTCGATTGCAATTCAGTGAGATACAATCTAGTCCAATGGAAAGAGTACTCACTGGCTCTGGATGGAGGACCTGGTTCAAATCTTGCCTCTGAGCTTATTACTTTTGTGACCTGTGAGAAGTCATTTAACCTTCCTTGGCCTCAGTTTCCTCATATGTAAAATGAGAAGGTTGAACTAGATGCACTCTGAAGTCCCTTCCACCTCTGTATCTATGATCAATTCAGATAGAATTTATTGTTGTTGTTCAGTTGTTCAGACATGTCTGACTCTTTGAGACCCTATAGATTCATCAATGCGGTTTTCTTGGCAGAGATATTGGAGTGGTTTGCCATTTCCTTCTCCAATGTGTCCCCATATAACAGATAAGGAGCTGAGGCAAACAGGGTTAAGTGACTTGCCCAGGGTCACACAGCTAGTAAATGTCTGAGGCTGGATTTGAACTCAGATCTTCCTGACTCCAGGCCCAGTGCTCTATCAGCTGCACCACCTAGCTGCCCCAGGGATTTATTAAATATCTACTATGTGCAAAACATTGTACTAACTGCTGGGGGGAGGGGTAAATGGCCTCAAGGGGCTCACAGTCTAGAAGGGGCATAACACACCAGCAGAGATTGCACCATTCTGAGGTGAGCCTGACAGCACACCAGTTCCCAAGCAGCTTTTTGTTGTTGTGTTTCAGTTATTTCAATTGTGTCTGACTCTCCGTGACCCCATTTGGGGTTTTCTTGGCAAAGATACCGGAGTGGTTTGCTATTTCCTTCTCCAGTTCATGTTAGAGAGGAGGAAACTGAGGCAGACATGGTTAAGTGACTTGCCCAGGGTCACACAGCTAGTACATGTCTGAGACAGGGTTTGAACTAGATCTTTTGACCCTAACTTTGGTACTCTTTCTATCTCTTTGGTACTCTTTCTATCTCTTCCCACTCATCTACTCAAGAGAACCATCCCTGGTTGTGAATAGAGCACTGGGCCTGGAGTCAGGAAGATCTGAGTTCAAATCTGGCCTCAGACACTTCCTAGTTGTATATAACTCACTTAACCTTTTTTGCCTCAGTTTCCTCATCTGTAAAATAGAGATAAAATAGCACCTTTGTACTAGAATCAGATGAGACAATATCTGTAAAACACTTAGCACAGTGCCTGGCATGGAGTAAGGGATATGTAAACATTAGATATTGTTAAAAAAAAAAGGAGGGGGGAGCTAGGGGCACATGGATGGAGTGTCCTACCTGCATTCAGGAAGATTCATCTAGTTCAAATACAGCCTCAGATACTAGCTGTGCGACCTTGGGCAAGTCACTTAACACCAATTGTCTCAAAAAAACAAACCAAAACATTCTGAGAAGGGACCCCGAGGCTTCACTAGATTATCAAAGGGGTCTTTGTCACAAAAACAAGTTAAGAACCCCTGCTTTAGACACATGACCAGCTTTACATGGATACTCATAATAATAGATAACCCACAATAATAACAATAACTCAATTTATAAGTTGTTGTTGATAAGTCATATCTGACTCTTCATGATCCTGTGGACTTCTGTCTATAGAGTTTTCTTGGCAAAGATACCGGAGTGGTTTGTCATTTCCCTCTCTAGTGGATTAAGGCAAACAGAGGTTAAGTGACTTGCCCAAGGTCACACAGCTGGGAAGTTTCTGAGACTGAATTTGAACTCAGGGCTTCCTGACATTGGGCCCAGCACTTTATCCACTATGCCGCCTAGCTGCCTCAATTTATGTAGTGCCATATTAATTTTACAAAACAAGGTTTATAAAGCATTGAAGCTAAATTGAATATAAACATGACCTACAATGTGGTATAGTGTCAGGAAGCAGAGAGGGAGAGTGATCTCTCTGTAGAGATTCTTAGTAATTGCTGAAGGCTTCATGGAGGCGCTGGGACTTAAATTGGGTCTTGAAGGATGAGATGGTTTTGGATAGGAGAAGGAAGGAGCAGGCGGTGGTAGCAGGTAGTGGAGAGAATGATGTGAGCAAAGGGACAGATGGAGAGATGAGCGTGATCTGTATAAGGGACAGATTCTGGATATGTGATTTCATGGCATTCACTCCATCTACCAAGTCAGGTTGGCACCTTCTCTGCAATTTTTAGTCTCAGAGGGTTTCCTAGAGCAATGAGAGGTTAAATGATTTGTGCAGGGTTACATAGTCAGTTTTCTTAAGAGGAGGGATTTGAACCCACATCTACTTGGCTTCTAGGCTGTTCTTTAGCCATTAAATGATGCTCACTATTCAGTAAAAAGGAGTGAAGAGATGTTGTCTTGAAGAAGGTGAGACAGGGTTTGTATAGGTGTTGTGGAGCCAGATCATGGAGCACCTTGGTCTTCTAATAACTGCTTGTTGATTTATTGATTGACCTTGAAAGCCACGGAGAGGACTTTAGAATTTTTTTTCTCCTCCACCTTTGTCCTTCTCTTCTTGGCACTAAATGACAACTCATCAGAAATCCCGCACAGTGCATAGGCTCAGAAGACCCAAAAATTACTATAGGACACTCTCCATCTTGGGGGACATTGATGTTGATCACTCTTCCTCTGTTTCTACCTTAGATGAGTATCTCAAAGTCTTAAATGCTGGTGTGGCCGAGGTCAGGAAATCCTTTCTGGGACCATTTTCCCCTTCCTGCAAGATGGTCCAGATGATGAAGCAGTTTCTGTACCGAGTCCTGCCTGAGGATTCCTACAAGTTGGCGACAGGAAGGCTCCATGTGGCCCTCACACGGGTGACAGATGGGGAGAACGTGGTGGTGTCTGAATTTACTTCCAAGGAAGAGCTTATTGAGGTAAAGGTGCTATATCCCTGGGATTAGGTTGGAAGGTGGATTCTGATCAGACTTGTCCCAGGAAAGAAATAGAGGGGGTTTCCTGACTACTTGGTTTTTCTTTTCTTTTCTTTTCTCTTAACAAGCATTTATTTTCTCGGCATCCCAACTCCCCCCATTGAAAAAAAAATGAAAAACAAATACACATAGTCTTTAAATATATCAAAAATAAAAGTCAGCTAAAGAACCAGAGAAACCATCCTCTTTTTTAAAAAGTTCATTTAATTTACATTTTAAATTAAAAAGTAGCTATTTTCTCTCCATCCCACTCCTTTTGGAAAAAAAGAAAAGAAAAAGAAAAACAAAACCCCTGTAACAAATATGCGCAGTCATGTAAAACAAATTCTGAAATTGTCTGTCTCCAAACATGTACGTTCCATTTTCTATCTTGAATTTATCACTCTCTCTCAGAAGTTGGGTGCGTAATTCATCGTGAGTCCTCTGACATCATGGTTGGCCATTGTATCATTCAGAGTTCTTTAAGTCTTACACAGTTGTTGTTGTCTAGACATTGTTATTGAATAAATTGCTCAGGTTTTGCTCCCTTCGCTCTGCATCAGTTTATAGAAATCTCCCCAGGTTTCTCTTACATCATCCCTTTCATCATTACTTATGGTGCAATAGTATTCTATGACATCCACATACCCCAATTTATTCAGCCATTTCCCCCAACTGATAGGTACCTCCTTAATTTCCAGTTTTTTGTCACTAAAAAAAAAGAGTTGGTATAACTATTTTTGTTCATTTATATCCTTTCCCTCTTTCTTTGATCACTTTGGGACGAGGAATTCCTATTCATTCTCTCATACGTCCCATATTACTGAATCCTGGACGATTTTCACAAGATTTCTCACTGTTTTCATAAGACCCTGAAGTCTAGCAAGGGCTCTCTGGTGCACCTATTTCTCTTGACCTTGGCTACAGCGTAGCTCCCCTGAAGAGACAGCCAGGGAAGAGAACGCTCCTTCTCTCTCTCTCCCACAGGCTGCACTTTGTAAGACACAGGATGCAGTAGTGGGTAGAGGACAGGCTTTGGTATCAGAAAGACCTGGGTTGAGTTCCTGCCTCAGAAACTGGCTCTGTGACCCTGGTTAAGTCTTTTTACTTCTCAGTGCCCCAGGCAACTCTCTCAAGAATATATTGCAGGTGAGTTGCCCATCTGTATAAGTAGAGGCAGTTTCTATAATGTTACGTTCCCTACACCAATGAAATCACGAACCTGGACCCCCCCAAAAAATTGTCCTTGTGCTGAGTTCTTACTTAGGCAGAGGTAAAACAATTATTGCAAATATGCAGAAGGATAACAAAATGTACCAATCATCTACAGTTACTCGCATTCTCATTTGAGCCTCATAATAACTCAGCGAGGTTAACTGGCAGCTGAGTGGCTCAATGAGTGGATCCAGCACTGGGACTACAGTTTGTTTTTGTTTTTTTAAGGAAAGGAAAATGGCTTTCACTCCTTACCCAGCTTGCCTCCATAGGCATGACTACACTATCCAGTGACCATCTACACTACATATAAAACTACAAAAAGGCCATGAACAGGAGTCGTGGGGGAAGGGATGAGGGGATGATGGCCATCACGAGCCTTCCCCTGTTCTCCTCCCCTTTCACCATAAAACAGAATAGAACAAAATGAAGGGTATTTTTTGAGCACCAATCAACAAGTATTTACTGAACACCTGGCTTCGGTGAGGAAAACTCAGGGGACCCTATATGCCAGGTTGAAGAATTTGAACTTCATCCTATAGGAAGGTTTGTGGGCAGGTGGGTGACATAATCAAAAGAAAATTCAGCAGGTGGTGGTGGGAAGGGTTGAAGTGGGGCAGATGAGCCTCTGGATTACTGTTGACCCCCTTTCCATCCCCTTTTCCCCCAGAATAATTGGTTACTCCAGTTACTTCAAGTGAGTCATGCTCTCAATGATGTGGGTGCTCCCACACGCCTTCTCTGGTGTGATTCTTGTCCATGCCTTTCCTTTAAATCCCCCACAGAAGCCCCATCCAACATATTGGAGGAATTCTTCTGGTTATTTTCCTTTTTTAAAAATTTAATTTTTTTCAATTACATGTAAACAAAATTTTTTTCATTTTTAAAAATTTTGAGTTCCAAATTCTCCTTCTCCCCCTCCCCAGAAGACAAGCAATTTGACACAGATTACATGTTTTTTTTTTGAGGGGGGGGTTGGTGAGGCAATTGGGGTTAAGTGACCCATAGTCACACAGCTAGGAAATATTATGTGTCTGAGGCCGGATTTGAACTCAGGTCTTCCTGACTGCAGGACTTGTGCTCTATCCACTCCATCACCTAGCTGCCCCAATATAGATTATACATGTATAGTCATGCAAGACATTTCCATATTAGCCATGTTGCCAAAAACAAAAAACAAAACACACACGTAGAGACCAAAAAAAAGTTTGAAAAAAAAAAGAAGGCTTCAATTTGTATCCATATGCCATCAGTTCTCTGGAGGTGGATGGCATTTTTCATCCTAAGTCTTTTGTATTGTCTTGGATCATTGTATTGCTAAGAATAGCTAAGTCATTCATAGTACAATATTGCTGTCATATGTTACAATGCTCTTCTGGTTCTGCTCATGTTACTTTGCATCAGTTCATCTAGATCTTTCCAGGTTTTTCTGAAAGCATCCTGCTCATTATTTCTTATAGCACAATAGTATTTTATCACAATCATATGCCACAACTTGTTCAGTCATTCCCCAATGGATGGGCATCCCCTCCATTTCTGATTCTTTGCCCCTCAGGTTATTTTCATATTTTCATGGAAATCAGTACAGCACTCAGGCCATCCATCCGTCATCCTTTTCCCTTCCTCTATGACCTGCCTGTCTCCGTTTCTTGATTAATCTGTAAAATATGAGGGATGGACTAGATGATCTCTAAGATCTCTTTCAGTCCTGAGAACTGTCTTTTATTTTACTTGAATGCATGTCATCATTGGAAATATGCACCAGCCTGCCACGCCAACTATGAATCTTTCCATTGCCCCCTGGGCCCTCTCCACAGGCACTCTACTGCAGCTGCTTCATACCGGTATACTGCGGCCTCATTCCACCAACTTACCGGGGTGTGGTGAGTACCCAGGCCTTAGCACAGGTGGAGAGGTAGTGGAGAAGGGAAGTCAATGCTTTCAATAAGCATTTATTAAGAACTTACTGTGTTCAGAGCACTGTGCTAGGCTCTGGGGGACATCATAAGAAGATTTAGAGTTAGAAAGAAGTGTAGGAGATTATTTAGTCTAACCTGCTCATTTTCCAGATAAACAAGCTAAGACCAAGAGATGGCAAGGGACTCACCCACAGTAAGCATAGTAAACATAAGAGACTGGATTTGAACCCAGGTCTTCCTGGATCCAAATCCAGCACTCTAGCTACAAATCATGAGATATACAGTTCCTTGCACTTATGAAGCATTACATTTCTAGTAGGGCGGTATGACAGATATAAAGTGGCAGCTGATAGCTCAGGTGATAGATTGTTGGGCCTGGCATCAGGAAGACCTGAGTTCAAATCCAGCCTCAGTCACTTACTGGCAGTGTGACCCTAAGCAAGTCACTTAACCTCTGCTTGCCTCAGTTTCCTCAACCATAAAATGGAGATATTAATAGCACCTATTTCCCAGGATTGTTGTGAGAATCAAATAAGATTATAGTTGTAAATTGCTTAGCACAGTGCCTGGCACATAGTAGGTACGTAGTAGGTGCTTCTTTCTTTGCACATAACCATAATATAAAATAACACATGATAAGTGCCTAAGAGAGGTTCAAACACAGTACCATGTGAGGTCTGAGTGGGGAAAGGTCATAATAAACTAGGTTAGATCAAGGAGGGATTCATGGAGGAGGAAGCATTTGAGTCGGGTTTTTAAAAATGGGTAAGAACTGATTGGATTAATTAATTAATTATACTTTGGGGTTGGCAGGAGGATGTTTCATGAGTAAGAAACTTAATGAGCAAAGTCATAGAGATGAGAAAGTGTGAGGTATGTGTAAGACACTGAATAGTTCATTCTGGTGGAAGCATAAAGCGGAATAATGTGAGATAAGTCTGGTAAGGCAGTGTGGCTTTAGATTATGAAGGGCCTTGAATGCCATGCTAAGGAACTTTGAGGCAATAGAGAGCCTAAGGAGTGAAATAACCAAATCTATGCATAAAGGATTGGTATATGTGTAAAGGTTGGTTTGGCAGAGAAATGGGGAGGAGGCCACTATATTATTGTATTCAATTCTGAATAATATCAATATTATTAATAATAACAACAACAATAATAATAATAGCTAGCATTAATATAGTGCTTTAAGGTTTAAAGAGCTTGACATACCATCTCATGTAATCTTCCTATATATACTTCTATGAGGCAGGAGGAGCAGACAACATGAACTCTACTTTACAAGTGAAGAAACTGAGGCCACAAGGGATAAAGTGACTTGTCAAGGTCATTCTGGTGGTTCAGAGGTCTCCTGACTCTTAGTCCAGTATTTTGTTCACTACACCATGCTGAGAGAGCCTTAGGATTCCTAAGTGTTGAGGAATCGACCTGACATGCTGCATTATTATTATTATTATTATTATTATTATTATTATTATTATTATTATTTTTCTTAGCTAAGGCATTATTATTTCTTTTGGCCCCAAGGGAAGTCCCAGTCAATTGACCTGCTAATAGGTGCCATTGATAAGTTCTTCCCCAGGTGAGAGAGTGTCACTTAATTTATAGACTTAACTTTTGGATGGAGAAGACAAAGGTCAAATTGAGGGGGGTATGGAGTTGAAAGACAAATAAGGGGCAGGACAGAATATTCTGGAAACAAGCAATATATTCCAGGAAAATCAGCGACAGTACCCCCTGGGCAGGTGCTAGGTATTGTTCTATCCAGAGGCAGAAAAGCTTCCCCTGGGAAAAGAAAATTTCTCACCTGTCCTTCAGGGTAGCAAGAGATAGACTCCCCACTGCCCACTGCAGTCACGTCAAGCTGTCTGAAGGCAAAACAGAGTTAAGACGGGTCTAGAATCCTGATTCCACACGGTCCACTCCTGCCCCCTCCTATCCTATTCCCCCGACTAAAAACAAAAGCCTCAGTCTTCTTTAGATATAAGGTTCAAGAGTCCTTTTGCAATGAAGAGAACAATTAGGGTGGCTCTTAGGCCCACCTTATTTAGAGAAGGTCTTTATTCAAATTGGAGAATGTTCTCTCTGGACTTAAAACACCCACCAACACGTACCTTTCATCAGCTCATAAAACATAATTCAAGCCAGGATGTTAATAGATGCCAATGATTTCATAGGTTTCTCCCTCCCAGCTTTTTCCCTCTCATTTTCACAAGGCCTTCTGGAGACAATGGCTTTAGCCAAAGGAGTAACCTTGTGAAAATGTACACATTCTCTGGGAGATATTTGGGTGTGTGTTATAGTACCAGCCCTGTACCTAGAAGTGTGCTGATAAAAGTTTAACAACCACTTAAAAAAAAAAAAACACACCTGACACATTTTTTAATCTGCCTTATTAACATTTTCTCCATCACTTTATCAAGTCAAGATGATCAACAAAATAGTAAGTTAAGCCTTAATTTGTATCATTTACTAATTTCTGAGGTGTAAGTACTCACACTGAAATTTTAATCATTGACTCAAGGAGCCAGTTAGAGCTGGCTCCAGCGTCTCCCACCTTCCCCTCTGCAGGCAACACCCCATGGTCATATGTGGCCTGGAGGTCATCCATTGGTACCTAAGCCCTAGTGAAAAGAGCAGTGGATTAGGAATCAGGTGATTGGATTCTGGTCCTGATTCTCACTAACTCACCCAGTGACCCTTGGCAATTCTTCTTCTTCATCTGAGCCTCGATTTACTCATTTGTAAAATGAGGGAGCTAGACTAGATGACCCTTAAGATCCCTTTCAACATTAAATCTATGACAATGAAAAATTCTCTTGGGATGTTCTCAGCACCTGCATTAATCATTTAATTAAATTAATAGACTTAAGTAAATGCTTAATAATATCTACTATATTCTAATGGATACAAAATAGATAATGTATATGCAAAATTGAAACAAAGAATCTACATTCTCCAGGGAGGATAGAGTATGTTCCTAGAGAAGTAAATCCAGGACATATACAAAATAAATTCAAAGTGATTTTGGGGAGTGGTACTAACAACTGATGAAAGGCCCCTTGCAGGAAGACGAGAGACAATACTTGAGTTGAACTTGGAAAGAAGCTAGGGATTTCAAAAAGCAGAGAGTGAGGAGGAAGGGCCTATTAGGAATAGGGGAGAGGTGATATGTGTCATGTATGGGAAACAGAGGCCATTTTTGGCTGGAAGGTTGAGTGAGTGCATAGGATTAATGTGTAATCAGCCTGGAAAGAAAGTTGGAGCTAGATCATGATGTACTCTACCTAATTGCCAAACAGGGAGGCTAATGAGAGGGAGGGACCCAGAAGTGGAAGGAAGGAGCAGGATGTAGGTAGGACAAAGGAAGAGAAGGAAGAGTCAGTTTTTTAAGTTATAGGTTCAAAGAATTAAGGACCTTTGGCAGGGATAGTTTTGAGGATCAGAAACCAGTGCTAGGTAGAAACTTTGGTGTAGATGGTCCCTAAGGCCTCATGTAACTTTAGCATTCTAGAATTCTAATATCCTTGAATGAAATGTCATGTTAACACCGGTATATTTCCAAAGGCTCTCCTTTGCATTATCAATAACCAAAAAAAAAAAAAAAAAGTCAATAACCCCAACCACCCCCCAAACATTCTTGTTTCCTTCTTCTTCCTACTTCCAAAAACAGAGGTATATTGATGGAGGTTTCACTGGAATGCAGCCATGCTCCTACTGGACAGACTCAATTACCATCTCAGCTTTCAGTGGCCAGCAAGACATTTGCCCCAGGGACTGCCCAGCTATCTTCCATGACTTCCAGTTATTCAACTGTACCTTCCAGTTCTCCTTGGAGAATATTACCCGGATGACCCATGCGCTCTTTCCTCCAGACCTAATGGTAAGCGGTAAGAGGTTCTGTAGTCACCTTTTGAAGAGGAAAGAGGGCTGCTCAGGATCATAGAAAGAGATTTAAAAGGGACCTCATCTAGTCTACCCTTCTCCCATTTTAGAGATGAGTAAACTGAGGGCCCAAGAGTACAAGTGACCTTTCCAATATAGTAAGGCAAGGGATTTGAACCCAGAGCCATCCAGTGTGCTTTCTACCACAATGACTCTCTGGAGTTGGGAGCATTGGACTTGTGGTCAAAAGACTTAAATTGGAATCTAGCTGTGCTCCTTGCTACCAGTGCACCTTTGGGTAAGTGACTTAACTTCCCCTGACTTCAGTTTGCTCTCATGTAAAATGAAAACTAGATAATCTCTAAGGTCCTTTTCAGCAGCAAATTTTGTGACCTATGAAACAAATGTGGAAATTGGGGAATTTGAGGGTTTGCTGAAGTTGTCATGCAAATAATGACTAAATAGTCTCATGTTTATTTCTTTCTTCATGAATTCTAGCAGGATCCTATAAAATTTACAAGCCCCAGGTCTAGAAAACACTTTGTAGGGAGACTGTGCACAGGGCCGGACTTACACATGAGCAGAGTAGGCAAGTTAGTGCAACAAACATTCATTAAGTGCTTACTATGTGCCAGTACCATGTTAGGCACTGAAGGATACAAAGACAAAAATGAAATGGTTCCTGCCCTCAGAAAGCTTACATTATATTGAGGGAAACAATAAACAAGTACAAAATCTATGTGAAGTAATCTTTTTTTAAATTTTAAAATTTTTTTCTTTTTTTCTTTTCAAATTTTTTTCTTCTTTTCTTTTCTTTCTTTCTTTCTTTTTTTTTTGTGAAGTAATTGCAAGAGGGAAAGACCATTAAAATCTAGGAGGATCAGGAAAGGTCTGTAAGCTATGGAACCTGAGCTACACCTGGAAGAAAGCTAGGGATTCTTTGAGGCAGAGGTGAGAAGAGAGTGTGTTCTAGGCAGGGAGGATAGACTGTGCAAAGGCCTGGTGATAGGAGACAGGATGCCATGTATAGGGAACAGAGAGCAGGCCTGTTTGACTAGAATGATCAGTATGTAGAGGTGAATAACAAGACTGTAAAGGTAGGTGGGAACCATTTCATGCCAAGCATGCCAAGCATGCCAAGCACGCCAAGAAGAGAAGTTTGCTCTTTGTTCTAGAGGCTGTTGAAGATTTTTGAGTAGCTGAGTGATATGGCCAGATTGTTTTTAGCAATATGAGTTAGGTAGCTGTATGGAGGATGGATTGGAGAAAGGAGAGATGGGAAGCAGGTATAGCAGTCTGACTATTGCAGTGGTTTAAATGAAAGATGGAGTCCAAACCAGAGAAGAGACAGAGTAGACATAAGAAGACAGACATAAAAGATGATAGACAGGTAGATTGACCAAGAAATGGCAACTGATTGGATAATGGGGTAAGAACAAGGAAAAAGTCAAGGATAACTTCGAGGTTGGCACAATAGTGGTATCCTCAGAAGAAACAGGGACACTTAGAAGGGGGATAGATTTTCAGGAAAGGAAGGAAAGAAGGAAACAAGCATTTATTAAGCACCTGCTGTATACCAGGGGCAGCTAGGTGGTGCAGTGGATAGAGTGCTGGGCCTGAAATCAGGAAGAGCTGAGTCCAAATCTGGCCTCAGATGCTTACTAGCTGCATGACCCTGAGCAAGTCACTTGACCCTGTTTGCCTCAGTTTCCTCATCTGTAAAATGAACTGGAGAAAGAAATGGCAAACCACTCCAGTGTCTCTGCCAAGAAAACCCCAAATGGAGTCACAAAGAGTCAGACATGACTGAACAACAAAAATGTGGCAGGTACTGTGCTAATATTGGATTATTTGATTATTTGATCCTCACAACAACCCTGGGAGGTAGGTGCTATTAGCATCCCTACTTTACAATTGCAGAAACTGAGGCAAACAGAGGTTAAATAACTTGCCCAAGGTCACACAGTAGGTTTCTAAAGCTGTATTTGAACTCAGGTCTTCCTAACTCCAGGCCCAGAGTTCTATCCACTGTGCCACTTAACTGCAAAATTATTTCCATATTAATTCCATTTTAGACATCTTGAGTTTGACATGCCTACGGGACATCAGATGTCAAGGTCCAGCTAGTCTTTGGTCATATGGGACTGAATTTCATGAGAGAGATTAGGATTGGATGTAGAGAAATTTGAGAGACATCTGCAGAGAGATGACAACTGAACCCATGTAGACTGATGAGCTCACCAAGGTAAAAGGTGTTGAGAGAGAAGAGAGGAGGACCCAAGATAGAGCTTGCAGTGAAGAAGGAGCCAATGGATAAGGAGAAATTAAAGATGAGAGAAAGAGAGGGAATAATTGAGGGACAGGCTCCTGGGATAGATGGGAGGGAGGATTCCAATCAAGAGTGCCATGCTGAAGGGTTAACCTTAGCTAGGAGGAAGATTATTCCTTCAGAGACTAGAGCAAAGAAGAAGAGAATGGGGGATGATGATGACAGGAGTTTGGAGACGTGGAATAGGAAGTACACAGTAGATGTCCTTTATTTTCTTGTAAAGTTGGAGGTGAGATCCTTGGCTTGGGGGTGGGGGAGAAGATGGTGGTGTAGGAGGTTTGAGAAGAGAGGAGAAGGGACTTAGAATATCATTAATGGAGAGTGTGGTAGAATGTCAATCCCGGAAGAAAAAAGGTTATAATGGCTCAATGGAATCCAATGAGCATTTATTAAGCACCCGCTGTATGTCAGGTGCTGTGTTTGGCACAAATGAAGTACTTCTTGCCCTCAAGGAGCTTATTTCTGCTGATCTAGTTGAGGATAAAATTTTAACCCTTTCATAGTTCTGAAGGGGGGGGGGAAGCAAGCCCCAGTCATAGCCCCCACCAGCATTTAAGCAGTGAGAGAAACAATAGCTTTTCATGGTGTTTTTCTCCACAGGCCCTGCATGAATACTACTACCGAGGATATCAGGACACAGTTTTATACTTGAAGAGGCTAAGTGAGTACTCTGAGAAGAGAAGACATAATAGTAACAGTAATAACAGGTAGCATTTACATATTGCTTTAGGTGCTTTCCAATATTATTTCATTTTATCCTCACAACAACCTTGGGAGGTAGGTGCAATTATTATTCCCATTTTACAGACAAGGAAACTGAGGTGGATTAGAAATTACTTGTCCTGGGTCACAGAGTTATTAAGTGTCTAAGGATGGATTTGAACTCAGCTCTCCCTGATTCCAGGTCCAACACTCTAATAGCTGGGCCCCCTAGAGACCTCTTTCCATTGGCCATCTAGCTTCTGCTTAAGCACCTCCAGTGGTCGGGGGTCCATTACTCCAAGGGGTCTTTGAAAAACAGTTACATGGAGAAGTTGAACAAAAAAAAACTCATCTCCAAAAACTGAAGGACATTTAAATTCATGTTTCACTGTGATGAATGAAATTGCAGTATTTTAGTTAACAAAACATTCTTGTGAACTGACAGCACTATGATGAACCCAAAAAAGAACACTAACTCTGAAGTTGGTGGACCTGGGTCCAAATCCTTCCTCTTATTCTGCGCTGGTGATTCTCAAATTTGCCTCTCCTGCACCAATCCCTCTGCTGACCCCCAATCTCACATCTTCCACTGACTTTCAAACTCAACTGACATCCAATAGACATCTTAAACTCAGCATGTACAAAACATAACTCATTATCTCTCCCCCCAAACCTCTCCTCTATTAGATTGTAAACTCTTTGAAGGTAGGGACTATCTTTTGCTTGTTTTTGTGTCTTCAGCACTTAGCAGTTTATTCAGTCTTTTTCAGTCATGTCCTCACTCTTTGTGACCCCATGTGGGATTTTCTTGGCAAGGATACTGGAGCCATTTTACAGATGAGGAAACTGAGGCAAACAGGGTAGTGCCTGACATATAATAGGCACCTAAAAATGTTCATTATTTGATTGCTCCTTATGTGGTCTTGGGCAAGTCACTCATCTGGGACTGTCTATCAATCAGTGATTCAATAAGCCTTTATTAAGTGCCAGGTATAGCATACAGAAAGGGACAGCTAGTTCATTGTGTGTTTAAAACTGGGCCTGGAGTCAGGAAGACCTAAGTTCAAATGCAGTCTCAGACACTAGCTGTGTGACCCTAGGTAAGTCACTAACCCTGTTTGCCTCAGTTTCCTCATCTGTAAAATGAGCTAGAGAAGGAAATAGCAAACCACTCCAATATCTTTACCAAGAAAATCTCAAATGGGGCCACAGAGAGTCAGACATGACTGAAAACAACTAAACAACAACAATAAATAACATACAGAATGAAGGTAGTGGCAGTTCTGCTGTACTATGCCCCAGTCAGAACATATCTGGAGCATCGGGTTCATTTCTGGGTGCTATGTTTGAGGAAGAACATTGGCAAGCTGATGTGCTCTGAGGATGACAGCCAAGGTGGTCAGGGACCAGGAGAGCATGCCACAGGAGGCTTGGTGTTAGGAAATGGGGAAATGGGGATGTTTAGCCTGAAGAAGAGGAAATTTAAAGGTGACAGGATAGGTATCTTTAAGTATTCACTCATCAATTCATTTTTAATAACATCTTATTTTTCCCCAATTACATGTAAAAACAATTTTTAACGTTCATTTTTAAAAAAGTGTTGAGTTCCAAATTCTATTCTCCACCCCATCTCCCCAGATAATAAGCAATCTGATACAGGTTATACATGTGCAATCATGTATAAACTATTACATGCAGTCATGTAAGATTTGTTATACTTGGCCCAAGAGGGCAGAACTGGAAGAAATGAGTGGGAAGTGCTGAGAAATTCATTGTGATTCCTTGTAAGGAACAATTTTCTTTTTCTTTGCAGAGGCAATCAGGGTTAAGTGACTTGCCCAGGGTCACACAGCTAGCAAGTGTCACATTTGAACTCAGGTCCTCCTGACTCCAGGCCCAGCACTCTATTCACTGTGCCACCTAGCTGCCCCTAAGGGAAACTTTCTAACAGAGCTATCCCAAAGTAAGCCAGGACTGTCTTGGGAGATGGAAAGCTCCCTGTTACTGAAGGTCTTTACACAGAAGGCAGGACAAGAATGATGTCTTATCAAGGACCATATATTTAGAACTAGAAGGATCTGAGAGATATCCAACCCTCTCATTTTATAGTTGAGGATACTGAGGCCCAGAAGGCTTAGACAACTCACTTAGGGTCACTTAGGCAGTAAGTGGTATAAAATAGATTTGAAGCCAGATTCTCTGACTCCAAATCCATCATTTTTTCTGCTAAATCCGAGGTTCTTAAAGCTTGGTCTGGGGACCCCTAAGAGTCCATGAGGGCCAAACTATTTTCATAATAATACTAAGATGTTTTAATTTTATATGGTAAATATCTATATCTATAGATACAATCCACATGAACAAAAGTTCTTTGGGTGGGGAGGGATGCTCAATAATTTTTAAGAGTGTAAAGAAGTCCTGAGACAAAAAATTTAAGAACTTACAGAGGTTCCCAAAGTGGGTGATACTGCCCTGTGGGGGGTGCTGGTACAATCCAGGGTGCAACCTCAGGTGCAGTTGGGGGGTGTTGAATAAAAATAAAGGGGTGGTGGAAACATAAGCAAAGAAGAGAAGACAAAAACATTTTGAAAAGCCATTTGTACATGTTTCATCTGTTGTGTGACAGAGTTAAAGTCGTAGTGATTACATTATTTTCCAAATAAACATACAAAATGCAAGTTATAACCAATCAGTGGTCAAGTTGGCCAACAAGTCTTAACAAGCAAGTGTTGGCAGGCAAGCATGTCATGCATTGTCAGGAAGTCCAGCATGCACCAGCAGGAATATGTAGATGTAATGATTTGTTTACAATATGATACTATACAGTTACATGAAGCAATATTGCATCATCAAAATTTCAATTCAGGGAAAAAACTACAAATATACAATAAATATTAAATTTAAGATGTCATTTAAAATATTTTATATATTTTTGAAATGATGCAAATTAAAAAAAAAAACATTCAAGGGTTAAAGAAAGTAGATTTCCAGGGGAGTGCTTAGCAAATTTTTTTTTTCTTGATAGGGGAGTAGTAGGCCAAATAAGTTTGGGAACCTCTGCACTAGCCCATAGACTAGGTGGCGCCACAGTGCGTAAAGTGCCAGGCCTGGAGTCAGGATGACTCATCTTGAACTCCATCTGGGCTCAGACACTTACTAGCTGTGTGACCCTGAGCAAGTCACTTCTTCACCCTGTTTGCCTCAGTTTTTTCATCTGTAAAATGAGCAAGAAAAGGAAAGGGCAAATCACTCCAGTATCTTTGCCAAGAAAACTCTAAATAGGGTCACAAAGAGTCAGACAAGACTGAAATGACTGAACACGCAAGACCACAACAGCCTCTGTGTCTTTTGGGTGAGCCCTGTAGGTCAAACCTCTGAGACCCCCTTCAACTGTGACATCCTACACTTTCCTAAACAGGTTAAACTCGGTCCCTTCCAGCCTCCCAAGGCTGGGGTGAGTGTCATCATGGTGGGTCTGGATTTCTCAGATTCTAGCTCCTATGACCAAGAGCTTGTTGGCTCTTGATATAGAGTGGATAAATTGTCATTGGTACGCACATAATGTATTCTACAGTCATTCCTTCCTCAGACCAAAAGAATGGGAATGGTGCAACCCAAAGCCTCACACCCATAGATAATTCATGTCTGAGAGCTGGCATGACTGAGGAGTCAGGTGCTGGAAATGGCCCTGCCCCATCATCAACGCTTCAGTCTGACCCTATATTTAGAAATTTAGGATATATATTTTTTTCTCCTTTTCTCTGCTCCTCCCTTCCAAAGTGATCTTGGGCAGGTATTTCTTCCTGTTGCCAATTCATCCACCTTCTCCACCCTCAGTCTCCATCAGTAAGATCTCTTTGCTGCAGGGAGGATCCTGTATCCTGACATTCCTGAAGACTTATACACCCCCTTCTTGGAGATGTTCTTTCATTTTCATGACATTAGCACTGGACACAGCTTTAAATTAATGATCTGTCCACTACATTGTCTCATAGATATCTCAGAGTCATTTGGATAATTCTGTACTCACAGGATTATAGATTTAGAGCTAGAAGGGACATTCGAGGTTATTGAGTCCAGCAACCCCCCCCCCCATTTTACAAATGAAGAAACTGAGTCCCAAAGAGCTTAGGTGACTTGCCCAGGGTTAGACAACTAGAAAGGCAAGACTCAAATTCTGGTCTTCCTGACACCATGTTTGGTCCTCTTTCTACTCACCACATTGCCTCTGAGTCAACTGATGGCCATCCATATTTTTAAACTAGATCATTCTGATCCAGACCTCTTTCTGTCACCTAAATCACATGAAGAGATGAAGGAAGAACCAATGGATCATCACCTTCCATATTCAGCAAAATCTTCAATGACTGAGATGCTCAAGCAATGGCTAGTTAATTGGAATTTGGGGAAACTAAGGATTAACCCCATTCTCCTTTTCCTCATAGGATTTAGAGTTGGAAGATTCTATAGAGATCATCTAGTCCAACCTTCTCATTTTATAGATGACCTTGGTTTGCCCAAGATCACACAGTTAATAAGTAGAAGACAGGATTTGAACTCAGATCCTTTAAATCCACATTCAGTGTTCCATTGACCCATTCTGCTTTACTTTAACCCATTTCGGATAATTTTTTTATTTTTTTTGGTGAAGCATATTGTCCTACTTTCTTGCCTTAGTTTGTAGACTATGGGTGGGGAGGAGACATATGTCTTCTTGGATATAGAAACAGCTTAAGAATGGAACCATCTTGTTGTTCAGTCATTTTTCAGTTATGTCTGACTCTTCATGACTCCATTGGGGTTTTCTTGGCAAAGATACTGGAATAGTTTGAAATTTCCTTCTCTAGCTCATTTTACAGATGAGGAAACTGAGACAAACAGAGTGAAGTGACTTGCCCAGAGTCACACAGCTAGTAAGTGTCTGAGGCCAGATTTGAACTCAGCAAGATGAGTTTTCCTGACTCCAGACTGGAGGTCTATTCACTGAGCCACTATCTTAAGGACATTGAAAGAGGCCATTGAGAAAACCAGAAATTTAAATTCAAATTTACAGCATCTTAGAGATGGAAAGACTCTGAGATGCTTAGGTAGAATGCAGCGTGGCGGATCTGAGGCCAGCAGCATAAGGGGAACTCCCACCAATCAGGAGAACTCTGCTCAAGTGTGAGGGAACTGGTGGATGAGCGGGAGGTGGAGGGTGGAGGGTGGAGGAGAAAACATCTGTTCTTGTGAGAGGACCCTTTTCTAAGCTCCACGACTCAAACACTCAGGGGACTGCTTAATCTGGAGTAACACCGCAAGGCAGCATGTTCCTTCCCTAGAGAATGTTAAGAATAAGCTAAATAAATACCAGCCTCTGAGTGTGAAACCAGTTCCAAAAGCCTGGAATTCTGTTCCCTTGCCTTGGTATGATATGCCTTGCCATTCACAAATTCTGCGTCTGCTGGTGATGGACACGTATCCCTCTAGTGGTGGAAAAGCGACATTTCTCTCCAAACCTAGTCTACAGAATCATCCTCCAATTGGGAAGAGCACAAACGAACATTAATGTTTTAGTCATATCTCATAGATCATAGATCATAATTTTATAGATTATAAATTTAGAAGGTACCTTGGAGACCACCTAATTCAACCCCCTCATTTTGCAGCTGAAGCCCAGAGAGGTTAAGAGACTTTTGAAAGGTCACCCAGGAAATTTGAAATCTAATCTTATTTTCCTACAGCATTCTTTGTATCACATAGTCTTTCTATGGCTCTAGAAGATTATCTCCCTGGAGGTGAAAGTGACAGAGATGTCGATTCAGGATTGATGCCAGGAAAGACTTCCTGCCTCAAATAGGAAAGGGCTGCCTTGAGAGGCTGGGTTCTTAGTGGTTGGATGGCCACTTTTCTGGGTTCATTGTAGTGGGGATTCATTTCATGTATGGGTCGAACTAAATGGCTGATGCAGGTCCCTTCCAATTCCCCAAATCCGTGATTCTTTGAAATTGAAGAGTGTTTGTGTTGTTTGGAGCAGTATGGTTTGGAACTACTAAGATCAAATTCCTTCCTTTTAGGGAAGAAGGTTAGGGAGGCAGCTGGAAGTGATGGGAAGGGCTCTCCTGACCTTGGACTAATTCTATGTTACTACTCCTCCTTGCTGCTTTCAGAACTCTCACTGATGTTCCATTAACATGGATGTCATTGCTTTTGATGAGACACCAATAGGAACTATGTGTGGAGTCCAGAAAATATAGGCTCCTATGTAGTCACCTGATTCATCCCCCTAAGTAAGTTTTATAATTAATATAAATTATCATATCAGCAATTAGATATTAGCTATAACATCAATAGTTAATTAATAATAGAATAATTGTTTTATCATTCATCATGTAACAATATGATAGCCAATAGTTGATTATAGTAATTAAAGTATTAATTAAAATCAATTAAACTATAATTAATAATTTTTTCATATTCAGATGAAATAGCACCTCAACCTACCCCCCCACACACCCCCAGTGAATTTTCACCTGAAAAATCTCTCCTTTTGTCCTTCTCCAGATACTTCCAATTGGTTCCCTGATGCTTATAATTTATTCAGAGGTACAAAGACTTTTGGTCTCCAATTTGGGGTTGAGATTTATAACACAAAGGCTCTTGGAAGAGCCACTTACAATACTGAGGCTAGCCTTTGATTGTAAGGAGGCCGTCTAGTTCATTTTAGGTGAGGAAATGGAGGCCTTGAGTGATTTGAGCAAGCGTGTATACACACACACACATACGTAAATATATGTCACACATAGCGCACACATATATGTACATATATCACATATAGTAAGTGATGTTGTTCAGTCATTTCAGTTGTGTCTGTGAGAAATGATTCATTTGGACCCCTACTCTGTTCCAATAAGTATTAATCAGTTTGAGATTTTACATAAATCATACAGGATAATTAGATAAGACAGGTTCTTATAGTAGGCCTTTATAATGGGTCTCAAAATTTAATGTAATGTTCACTACTTAATTACCAGTTATGAAACTCACTTGCACAACTACAAGAATGCTGATAAAGGTATCTCCATCTTGTTTTACTCAAATTCCATGTCTAAAGCCAGCATGAGTAGGATGTCTTGATTTTTTGGAAAGTCCCCCAACTTATTTTTTGTATATCTGGACCACTCTTTCTTGTCCAGAATGAGCAGGTGACCATCTTATGACTACCTAGTCAGTGGGGTTATCCTGTGCTTTGCCCAACCTGAGACCTCCCTGCTGATATACCATTTTTTGGATGATACATTATTTTTGGCCCTCAAGAGCAAGTTCTTCAGCTAATGAAATTCTGTATTTTACCATGCTTCTTTTGTATATTTGGATGTTGAGCCCTATTAAAACAAGGTCCAAGGGACCATGGGCATCTCAGATTATGAGGAAGATCTGAGGTCCACTTCATTAGAGGGGATCATGGATTCTTTAATAGAGTGCCATTGACCCAGAGGTCTGCCTCAGTTTCTTTTATTGTAGCTTTGACAATTTTAAACCCCACAAGTCTGACTCTTCATGACCCAATTTGGGGTTTTCTTGGCAGAGATTCTAGAGTGGTTTACCATTTCTTTCTCCAGCACATTTTATAGATGAAGAAACTGAGGCAAACAGGATTAAGTGACTTGCTCAGGGTCACACAGCTAGTATGTGTCTGAGGCCGAATTTGAACTCAGGAAGATGAGTCTTCTTAACTTCAGGCCCAGCACTCTATCCATTGTGCCACTTAGCTGCCCATATAGTAAGTGGCAGAACCAGAATTGCCCTCTAAGTTCTGAGCAAAGGAATACTTGCTTTCCCTACTTTACAGCATTTTATCTATCTATCTATCTATCTATCTATCTATCTATCTATCTATCTATCTATCTATCTATCTATCTATCTATCTGTTTATTTTTTGGCGAGGCAATGAAAGTTAAGTGACTTGCCCAGGGTCACACAGCTAATTAAGTGTCAAGTGTCTGAGGCCAGATTTGAACTCAGGTCCTCTTGACTCCAGAGCTGGTGCTCTATCCATTGCGCCACCTAGCTGCCCCTTTACAGGATTTTAAAGATAGAAATGAAATGTGTCAATATGGGTGATATGAAGAAGTCTTGTTTTAAAGTGCTTTGGCAGTGTAGGTTGCCATGAAGATGCTCATTCTGTTGTCTTTACTAGATGGTGTCTACCTCGAGTCTCCCATCAAGAATTTAATGTTCCCCCGGGTGGAAGTGTTCTGCTTTGGAAGTCTGTCCCAATGCAGGGAATGGAAAGGGACTGATGAGCAGAACCCAGAGACGACACAAGCCAGCTTGTCAGAGCTCTCGAGCCACACTCTGAATGAGGCCACCAAGGGGACTGTGAAGGACGATGATGGTCCACCTGATTCCTCTGCTGGGCAGGCACCTGAATCTGTCCCTGCCCAGTTCCCTCTGTCACCAGCCATGCAGCCGGCTACAGTGTCAATTCCATCACTCACAGAGTCACCTGTGCGGTCTCCTGTCTCACCTGTGGGGCTCCCTCTGCCATCACCATCTCAACAGTCACCCATATCACCGTTTGTTCAATCAATGGCACAACCACTTCCATCACTCAGGCAGTCATCCATGCATCTCTGCTCTGTGCAGTCACCCTCCTCACCTACAGAACTTCCTTTCCCATCTCTACCCACGCAGTCACCTCTATCATCTTTTGCACAATCGCCTATCTCACCCCCAGGACAATCACCAGTATCAACACCTGTGCAGTCGCTTCCTTCACTCACAGTGCCATCACCAACGGTATCCCCCACGTCCCCAGCTGCATCATATCCTCCATCAGTACCCCTGCATTCACCTTCAGCGTCTCCTGTGCAGGCATCATCCATGGAGGCTGATGCCACACCCCAGTTCCAAGGTACTACCCTCCTCCTGTGGGATTTCTTATGGACTTTTACATCTTGGAATTATTTCATAACTAAAAAAAAAAAATCAGTTTAAAATAGTCACAGTTTTAAAGGTTTAGTTTGTTTTGTAGGATTCTGTTTCTATCTATCTTCAGGGTTGAAGGAGATGTTCACAGAGCCCCCTCAGTGTTTTTGCCCAAGCTGAAGTCTCACCTTGAGCACCAGCTGTGCCCTGATCAGACTCTGACAAAGCTGGGAGATTTACACCTGAGGAAGCATGATCCCAAACCAGCCCTCTTCTCCTCCCATCTCAGCTCCCCCAGAGGTAGGGCACTTGTCTGAGAAGTAGGTCATCTGAGTTTTCACCTCAGCTCTGCCACTGCGTGATCATGGGCAGAGCAACTCTCTCAGTTTCCTCATCTCTAAAATGGAAAGAATGATCCCTGCCCATCTCACTTCATAGAGCAGTTGTGAGGCTCAGATAGGATAATGGAGGTGAAAGCTATTGGACAATGACAATAAATGTAAGATTTCACATTTACATATCAATTATCTCATATGATTCTTGCAATACTACTATATAGTGTGTCCATTTTGCAGATGGGGAAACCAAGTCCTACAGAAAGGAAGTTATTTGCGTAAGGTCATGGAGTTGAGAGGAAGCATGGGAAAGTGGAAATGTGCTTGGACCTGAATTCTTGTCCTGGCTCTGCTAACAAATGATAATAGGTTTATATAATCCTTTAAGGTTTACAATGTTCTCTAGATATATTACCTTATTTTCTCTTCACAACAACCCTGGTTGTTGTAGGTGCTGTTTTTTTGTCCCCATCTTACAGATGAGGAAATTGAGGCTGAGAAGCTAATTGACATGCACAGGGTCACACAGCTAACATCTAAGGCCAAATTGGAACCCAGGACTCATTCACTTCAAGTCCAGTACTGTGGTCACTCTGTCCATTCAGTATGACCTGAAGCAAGTCTCTTAACTTCTCTAGACTCAGTTTCTATTTCTGCAAATATGAAACTCTAGATCCTATGTTTCTGGAAAGCACGAAATCATAATCTTAGAGCCAGAAGGGACCACAGAGGCCACCTAGTTCAATTTCTTCATTTTATAGATGAGAAAACTGGGGTTCAGAGAAATAAAGGGATTTGCCCGAGGTAACACAGCAAACATTAGAAGTGAGATTCAAACTCAGTACTGGAGCTGGCGTTTGTACCAATGTCTCCTGACTCTAATCCTGGCTGCTCCTTCTCAATGAACAGTACCATACAAATGAGTCATCCAAATTCAAGGGATGATTGGGATTACAAAGGGAAAATGGAAAAACTTTTATTAAGTGCTCACTATTGTATTAAGTATAGGGAATAAGAAGAGAAAGTCAATTGATACCTGGTCTTGGGGAGCTCACATTCTGATTGGGGTATGATAACACATACAGGAAAGTTCAGATGTTCCTTAGGGTACAAGGCAAAGTCCAGGGATCCTTAGCTTACTGTTGGGAAGGGCAGGTCATGGTGGACTCTGGGTTGGCCCACTTTGTTATGGGATGGTTGGGGAATCTCTGGCTGTCAGTAGGAAGGAAGGAAGCAAGCATTTATTAAGTACCGCACAATGGATAGAGCACTGAGCCTGGAGTCAGGAAAACCTGAGTTCAAATATGGCCCCAGACACTTAGTAGCTGTATGACCCTGGGCAAGTCACTTAACCCTGTTTGCCTCAGTTTCCTTGTCTGTAAAATCAGCTAGAGAAGGAAATGGCAACCCACTCCAGTATTCTTGCCAAGAAAATCCCAAATGGGATCACAGAGAGTCTGAAATGACTGAAATGACTCAATAACAAAAATGTGTCAGGCACTGTGCTAAGCACTTCACAAATATTATCTTTCTTGATCCTTACAATAACCCTGAGAAGTAGGAATTATTATTGCCCTCATTTTACAGTTGAGGAAACTGAGGTAGATGAAGGTTAAGTGACTTGTCCACTGTCACAGAGCTAGTCTGAGGCCAGATTTGAACTCAAGTCTTCCTGACTCTAGACCCAGATCTCTATCCATTGTTCCACCTGAACTTAGAGGAACAGTTCCTACTCATTAAGGGCATCTGGCTTCCATCAAATCTGCCACCAGACTCAGATTTGCTTGTTTATTCAATGTGAATGATTGATTCATTCTACCCTCAGGGCCCAATTCTGTACTTGCTTAGCTCCATCAGGCCAGGACCATCGCCAATTCAGGAACAAAGCCTTCCTTGTAACCAACTGCAGCTGGAGATTGGCTGGCCCTGTACTGACCTTGTTAGCACTGTGTCTGGTCATGTGTCTGATCACAAAAGCAAAAAAATACTTCTGGAACTTATCTGTGATAAGAGGGTGTGTCTGGGAGGGTATGGAGGTGGGAGTCTATGGGACAGAGACGTTGCACATTGGAAGAAGAAGGTCCAAATGTGTTGGCATACCATGTACATTAAAAAAAAAAAGTGATCTGGAACAGAGCCTAAATGTATTTGAGGGAAATGTAGAATTGCTAACTTTTCAGCCCCACCAAACCACTTCCTTCAAACACATGGATGGGTAATGGTAAGAACATTTCCATATTTCTTTCAAACGTCAATCAAGAAGTCACATGAGGCCCTCTGACACATATACCACCTCTCACTCCCACCATGGGATCAATCCTGTTGTGCTGACCAGCTATGGGCCCAATTGACAATCACTTAACTTCTAGGGATCTTAGTTTCATCATCTATAGAATGGGGGGTAATGACAGGGTTATTGTGAGGTTCAAATGAGATAATGCATATAAAGAGCTCTGTAAATTTGAAAGCACTACATAATTGTCAGTTATTCATTCATTTGAACATTGGAGAGGAACATAGTTCTTAGATAAGTTGTGAGGATCAAATAAGATAATATTAATAAAGCACTTATTGGCACAGTGCCTGGTACATAGTAGGCACTATATACATGCTACCTATTATTATTGTTGTTGTTACATGATTTATAAATTTGAAACTTAGAACCTCAGACCTGGAAGGGACTTCAGAGGTTATCTAATAATAGTTAACGTTTACCCAGCACTTTAGGGCAGCTAGGTGGTACAGTGAATAGAGTGCTAGGCCTGGAGTTAGGAAGACCTGAGTTTAAATCTGGTCTCAGACACTTACTAGCTGTGTGACACTGGGAAAGTCACTTAACCCGGTTTGCCTCAGTTTCCTCATTTGGAAAATGAGCTGGAGAAGGAAATGGCAAACCACTCCAGTATCTTTGCCAAGAAAACCCCAAATGGGGTCACTAACAGTGGGACATGACTGAACAATAACAACCCCGCACCTTAAGGTTTACAAAGCATTTTCACCATTTTATTTGGTTCTCAACACTGCCCTTATAAGGTAAGTAGTATATTATCATCTCCAATTTACAAATGGGGAAACTGAGGCCCAGAGAGTTTAAGTGACTTTCTTATAGTTGCAGCTAGGAGGTGGCAGAGCTAAGTTATAAAACCAATCCTCTAGGTCCAAAGTTCTAAGATTCTGAGATTCTAAGATTCAAATATGTGAAGCATGTAACAACAACAATAATACCAACAATTATAGCTAACATTTATATAGTGCCTACTATGTGCCAGGCAAGTGTTTCTAAATGCTTTCTTGATGGTATCTCTTTCAAGGGAGTAGCTAGGGTGGTGCAGTGGATAGAGCAGGAGGACCTGAGTTCAAATCTGGCCTCAGACACTTGATACTTACTAGCTGTGTGACCCTGGGCAAGTCACTTAACCCTATTGCCAAAGAAAAAAAGTGCTGTCTCATTTGATCCTCACAACTCGGATGTCTAAGAATCATGTTCCTCTCTGATGCTCAAATGAATAAATAAAAGCTGACAGTTATGTAATGCTTTAAATTATGAAAAATACCTGACAATTATGTAGCATAGCCACCTCTCATTCCTGTGGGGTTTCCTTGATAATCTATTTACCAACGATAAATTCTATTTTGTTTTTCAAGGTACCATGGTCAAGAAAAGAACCTATTGGACTCAAAAATGAAGCAGGGGATGTACAAGTTATCCTTAGAGGCTAGGAACCTAATTATTGCAAACCCATGCTCATCTTGTTTAGAGCCTTGAACCAAAGACAGTTATGAACCCCAAACTGAAGAGAACTGTATTATTTTATTTCTCTCCAAACCATGGAGACAGTATGGCACAGTGGACCAAGGGCTAAATTTTGGATTCAGAGAGCCTAGTTTTGGATTCTTCCTCTACTATTGAAACTGAGACTAGACTCATCAATTATATGAATTGACACAAACATTTTTAATAATTTTTAATTTTTTTGTAATTTTACTATTATTTACTATAATTTTTCCTACCTGTAAAAGTATTTTAAAGACAAATAATTAAAAGCAGATATTATTATCTTACTTTGAAATAAAAATTTTCATCCTACTCTCTCTGGTATATGCCAATATGTCACTTGACACAGATTGGTCCTTCAAGATGCTCTTAAATTCCAGTCAGTCAATAGACATGTATTATGCACCTACTATGTGTCAGGCACTATTCTAAACACAGTGCTAAGTAGTCCTTCTATTAATTGCCTGTGCAACCTTAGTCATTTCCTTTTTCTGGGCCTCAGTTTCCTCATCTGTAAAAATAAATTATTCAGTCATGTCTGACTCTTCATGGCCCCCTTTTGGGGTTTTCTTGGCAAAGATATTGCAGTGGTTTGCCATTTCCTTCTCCAACTTATTTTACAGATGAGGAAACTGAGGCAACTAGAGTTAAGTGTCTTACCCAGGGTCACATAGCTATTAAGTGTCTGAGGTCAGATTTGAACTCTGGTAATTTAGTCTTCCTGATTCCAAGTCTGGTGCTCTATCCATTGCACCACCTACCTGCCCTAAATAAGAGGGCTGACTATATGATCTCTTATCCTTCTACCTTTGAATCAATGATGTGAAATACTATTTAAAAAAAAATAACCAAACCTTAGCAGTTTAGCAGTTTAAACTGGCCTATATAATGTTTTTCTTTTAAAAGGAAAGAAGTATTTATCATGTACCCACTTTGTGCCAAGCACTTTGCTGGTTACAAATACTATCTCATCTGTTCCATACAATAAGCCTGGGAGGGAGGTGCCATTATTATCCTTATTTTACAATTGAAGAAACTGAGGCAAAAAAGAGGTTAAGTGACTTGACCAGGTTTATAACTGATAATCATCCAAGGCTGGATTTGAACTCAGTTCTTCCTGACTTCAGGCCCAATGTTCTATCCACTGCATCACCTGCTGCCTCAACCGAATGACAAGATGTTCTCTAAACAGAAATGGAACAAGCATAGTTCAGTTGATTTAAGACTCCAACTGGACCAACAACAAAGGTCACAACAAATTCTCATGATCAATCTCAGTTTCAGTTTCCATAGTTCTTCTTTATAGTTATTGATTATTATTATCTTTTGTTTTCATATTACCATCATTTCCAAATACATCCTCCCTTGCTCCTTCCCATATAGCCATCCTTCGGAGCAAAGAATTAAAAAAAAAAAGAAGAGGAAAAAAGAAGTTCAACCAAATAAACTGATATCTTAACAGTCTGACAGGAAATGAGTTGAATCCCAGCTTTGCCACTTACTGCCTGGATTAATCACTAGACTTCTCTGGGCCTCAGTTCTCTCATCTATAAAATGAGGAGTTTGGATTGAATGAGCCCTATAGCTCCTTCTAGATCTTAACATGAATTGTATACTAAATATTAGCAGGCAGATTATTCCTATAGATACAAGAATTAGTTTCTACTTTTGGGGGAGCTAGAGCATTTTGCTTGATTTTATAGGGAAGCTTTTTGGAATTTTGGGAGCTTTACTTTTATACATTTAGAGCTGCAAGCAGGGGTGTGCTAGAACCAGCTCTAACCAGCTTGCATGAGCTGATTGTTGAATTTTCAGTGTGAATATTTAAATCTCAGAAATCAGCAATCAATACAAATCAGATTTAAGAAAGTGTTAATAATTTCAGATTAAACTTAAAAGTGTGTATATATACCTCTCCCCCTCCCCAGAGTCTGGTTGTTAAATATTTACCAGAACACCCCTGTATTGCTCTATAAACATCTGGGAATTGCCATGTTTCTGGTGAATGTGAAGGAAGCAGTCTCCAAGCCCTTTGTGAAGTCTGCAGGAGTGTAGTAGAAGGTTCTGGGAATAGAGTCATTGCCAGACTGGAAGCCTGGTAATCCATAGGTGAATAATAATCATAATAATAATAATAATAATAATAAATAACTACTTGTGCTAACTTAGTATAGCACTTTTAGCTTGCAAAATGTTTTACGTAAGTTATTTCATTTGAGTCTCATAATGCCTCTGGTTGGAAAAGACCTCAGAAATACTTGAGTCTAATCCCCTAATTTTGTTTTGTTTGTCTTTTTTGTTGTTGTTGTTGCTAGGCAATGGGGTTAAGTGACTTGCCCAGGGTCACACAGCTAGGAATTGTCAAATGTAATCCCCTAATTTTGCAGATGGGGAAACCAAGGCCCCAATAGTTAAGTAACTTGCCTAAAATGCCACAGGCATTGATTGAGTGGTAGTTCCAGGACCTGACCCTAAGTCCTCTGACTCTAAACTCAGGGCCTTCAAAGGATATCTTCTAAACTAAATGGATACATGGCGAGGTTGCCAACAGGTCGTGTTGGTCCAAGATTTCTTTTTCCTTTTCTTTTTTTAAGTTTTAACATTTTTTCCCCATTACATGTAAAAACAATTTCTATCCTTTGTTTTTCACAATTTTGAGTTCCAAATTCTCTCCCAATCTCCCTCCTGTCCCCCCTCATTGAGAAGGCAAGAAATTTGATAAAGATTATAGGTGTGCAGTCATACAGAAAGTATTTTCGCATTAGTCGTGTGGTAAAAGAAAACACACTCAAAAAGACCCAAGAAAAAATGAAGAAAGTAAAAAAACAAAACCCAAAACAGCATGCTTCAATCTGCATTCAGATACCATCAGTTCTTTCTCTGGAGGTAGATTTCATTTTTCATGATAAGCCCTTCAGAATTTTCTTTGATCTAAGCTAGTTTAATCTAAGCTGATTTAAGCTAAGCCATTCACAGCTGATCATCTTACAATGTTGTTGTTACTATGTACTACAATGTTCTCCTGGTTCTGTTTATTTCACTTTGCATCAGTTCGTGTAAGTCTTTTCAGGTTTTTCTAAAATCCAGCTGCTAATCATTTCTTATAGTACAATAGTATTTCATCACAATCATATACCACAATTTGTTTAGCCATTCCTCAATTGGTGGACATACCCTCAATTTCCAATTCTTTGCCACCAGAAAAGAGCTGCCATAAATGTTTTTGTACATCTAGGTCTTTTTCTTTTTCGTTTTTTATCTTTTTGAGATACAGACCTAGTAGTAATGCTTGGTGAAAGGGTACACACTATTTTATAGCCCTTTGGTATGGTTCCAAATTGCTCTCTAGAATGGTTGGACCAGTTCACAACTCCACCAACAATGCATGTGTCCCAATTTTCTCACATCCCCTCCAACATTTGTCATTTTCCTTTTCTGTCATATTAACCAATCTGATAGGTGTGAGGAGGTGCCTCAGAGTTGTTTTAATTTTCAGCTTCCCTATTAAGCATTGTCTTCCCTCTTCAGAATGTAAGCTCTTTGAAGACAGGGAATGTCTCTCTTATTGCTTGTATTTGTATCCCCAGTACTTAGCATGGTGCCTGACACAGATTAAGTACTTAATAAATGCTTGTTGACTTACTGAGAAAGTCACTGGCTAGGTTTAGAAATGTTCTTCACTCTAAGGGGAATGGAGAAAAAATAGAATTTTGGTAAAGTGAAAATAATACAATTAAATATTTGAGGCATAAAAAAAGAAATGTTTTCTCCACCTGTTACTACATACAGGTGGCAGGCTTATTTGTTGTGTCAGAACTAATCCTTCTTTTCTCCATATTTCCTCCATATAGCTTTACCTAAGACTTCAAATAAGAAAATCACTGTATTTCTGGTGAACGTGAAGGAAGAGGTCTCCAATCCCTTTGTGAAGTAGGTATTCCCTGAAGGTAGGTGGGAGTGGGCCTTTCTTTACATAAGAGGTAAGAGCAGGGCTCAGGGTGATCCAGGAACTGACTCACAACCATTTTGGCTGCCAATAGAAACCCTGGGCCACGTTCCCAGGTCAAGTAGTTAAACTCCACCCTTCAAATGTCTCCTTGGTTGATGTAATCTACTTTAATTCTTTGAGGTCAGTTCTTTTTGGGCTATTGCCCAATGCCTGCTTTCCCACCAGAAATGGCTGTATTTTATTCCCGGGCAGTCTTGCAATCATAATATTCATAATATTCATCATTAATTCCAACTGATTTATTCTACACCTTCTTTGGTCAAAGTGGAAGACAACTCTACCTACTTCTCCCCCTGCCTATCTACCTCCCTGTCCTATCCTTCTCTCATACTCATTCTCTCATTCTCAGGTAAGAATCAATTCTTAGCCAATCCCCGATTTGAGGAGAGAAGCCACGATCTAGTTTGCAGCAACAATCTGGACAGCTGTTGTCTAATATTTGTATGAGTAGTCAGAAGCCTAAGCCTGACTTAAGAGACTGGCTTTGTAACAGGTACACTGCCCAATTCATCTTCTCCTTGGCTTGCCATAGGGTCTGAAATCTCCCACCCACTGAGTCACACCTTTGGGTGGATGCATTGTCTTACAAAAATCCTTTATACTTGTGAGGTAATCTAGGAAGCAATTCTTTTTTTTTTATGAAAAGAAATGCAGTCTGTTACTTTCAAATATAATAAACATGCCCATTAATTCATAAAACTTTGTTAAACAGAGGTCCTCCTGAATCTACTTTACTTGAATAATCTAATTCATGGATTTCCCTTTTGATGATACAGATTACAGCCTTTCTATACCTACACAATATCATTCTGTGTGTCTTTTATCAGTAGCCTGAGGGATCCACTCAACACACTGGGAGATTTCCTCTTATGTTCTTATTAAGTCATTATTCTATAAGCAGGAATTAATTATTATCGGTCCCTAGGCTGAGAGTAGGAAAGTCGCTAAAGAGACAGGGCATAGGATGGATACATTTGGATGAGAGGCCAAAGACAAGCTTCACCTCTTGTATAATTGTGCCTAGGGGCCACACTGTGGATGACACACATTGGGTGAATAAGTTATTTGGAAGGAACAACCATGACACAAATGGTACCAGGAGAGACTTCTCAAGACCCCGAAAATGCAATCTAGCAAGGAGAAAAGAGCGGTAAGTACGTCTAATGTGTCCTAAGTCTATCAGAAATAGACAAGGGATGAGAGGAGGCTCCAAACATTTCAGAAAAAAAATGTGCAATGCTCGCTTCTTCTACTAAAATCTCCCAAAGGCCAACTCATCCAACATTCCTCCTCCAACCCCTCCTTCATGGTCCTGTAAACTCTGAAAAAAGAATGCACACGAGAGGGGACATCAGAAAGTGCTATCAATGAAGAACGTAGCTATTGTCGACCTGGTTACAGTGGCATTGATGCCTTCAGTGTTGTTCATGCCCAAGACTCCAGGCAACTTGTAACATAGTCTGGTACATGAGATTTCTCCAGACATTCACAACACAGAATAACGCCCACATGAGGGAAGTTGCTTAGGATTGCTAGACCTCCATACCTCAATTCTTGTGCCATGTAGAGATATATATTTATCTGATCCTTTTGTTCTCAGATTTTCTGGCATCTATTGTTTTATATTTGTCTGGGTAGCTGAAGCAATATTCCAAGGGCTGTGGCCCTCCTTGACTAAGTATGCTGCCTACCAGCAACCTCAAGGGAAGAAAGGCCAATCAATCAAATAATCAACAAGCATTTTTAGAGCAGCCTACTAAGTGTGTGACCCTATGCTGAGTGCTGGGGATACAAAGAAGGGCAAAAGCACAAAATATTTACGTGCTGTCGGGGAGATGGGTTGTAAATAACAAGGTCCATATAAGATACAGGTAGAAAAGAAGGAAAGTGACCTAAAGGGCAAAGCTTCAGTACCAAGGAAAGCCTTCTGCACAAGGCGGCATCTGAGCAGAATCTTGAAGGAAGCCTTCCGATGTCAAGAGGGGAGATGAAAAGGGAAAGAATTCTAGGCATCAGGGATGGCCAGTACAAAGACATGGAGACAGGAAATGGAGTGTAGTATGTGAGGAACAGCAAATAAGGGGGAAAAGGGAATAAGCATTTACACAGCACCTACTATGTGCCAGGCACTGTACTAAATGCTTTGCAAACATTATCTTTACTTGATCCTTCCAACAACCCATCCCCATGGGGCACTCAAATAACTGCCTAGACAATGTTGAATATAGTAGGATGACTTCTTCCCCAGCCCTTTAATAGTCTTATCATTCATTTGTTCATTCATTCAACCAACCAACACTTAACAAAGCACCTACTATGTGCAAGGCATTATGCTGTGGAACAAAGAAGCCTTTTCTCAATCCATGTCCCTCTCCCCTAACAACCTGCAATCTCTCATAAAGCAACCTTGGTTTCACTTTGTATGTTTTACATACACACTTACAGTGTATATATTGTTGCCTCAGTTAAAATGTAACTTGTTAAAATGTAAACTATAAAATGCTCCATGAAGGCAGGAGCTTTCACTTTTGTCTTTCTATCACAGTATCTAGCATAGTATCTGATACTTAACATCTTTGTTGATTGATTGAATTATACCTGATTCCTGTCCTTAAGATACTGATGCTGAACCAATCTTAGTTAGATAAAGTACTTACTCTGTGTAAGAACTCTGCTAAGTTAAGGATGCTGATACAAGCAAGCAAGACAATCCCTGCCCAAAAGGAGCCTACATTCTATTGATGGGAGACAACACAAATAGGGGAACTAGAAGTGGGAGGTGAGGGGACAGAATTGCAGGTAAGGAAGATTCCAGAGAGAGTCCAGGTGTGAGTGAAATGAAGCGAGACTGGGGCCTTTCCTAAAACCGTGGTACCCAGGAAGGAATTTAACAATGAGGAGAGGAGGGCCCCAGGGCAGATGTTTCTCAGGGTGGTAATACAGCAGGCATGGAGAAGATGGAGGATTCTAAGGACAGTCCAGGTTACTCTATTCATTTACTAAACTTGAAAACCCAAATGTTAATTGTTTGCAAATCAAGAGGAATGGGTTTTTTGATTTGTTTTTGTAATAAAAGTTAAAACATACCTAGTAAACTTGGTTCAAATGAAAGTCAGTCAGTCCATAAACATTTATTAAGCACCTACTATGTGCCACACTGTACTAGGAGTTAAGGATTCAAAGAAAGGGAAGGAAAAAAAAAGCAAAACAGTCCCTGTTCTTCAGGAGCTAATGGGATAGAAAATATACAGAATTATATACAACCAAGCTACATACAAGATAAATAGTGAATAATCAAGAGAGGAAAAACACTAGAATTAAGAGGGATGGGGAAAGGCTTCTTGTGGAAGGTGGAAGGGACTTGAAGGAAGCCAGAGAAACCAAGAGGCAGAAATGAGGAGGGAGAGCATTTCATGCATGGGGGACGGCCAGGGAAAATGCCCAGAGTGGGAAGATGGAATGTCTGGTGTGAGGAACAACAGAGAGGCCAGCGTCACCGAAACCTGGAAAGGTAGGAAAAGGCCAGAGTATGAACGGCTTCAAATGCTAAAGAGAGAATTTTATATTTAATCTTGGTGGCGATAGGGAGTCAATGGAGTAGGGTAGTGACATGGTCAGACCCGAGCATTAGGAAAATCACTTTGATAACTAAGTGGAAGATAGAGCAGAGTAGAGAGACTTGTGGCAGGGAGACTGACCACTGTAGTAGTCTGGATGTGGTGTGATGAGGACTTGCACCAGGTGGTGGCAGTGTCAGAGGAGAGCAGCATATATGAGAGATGCTAGGAAGGTAAAATCGAAACCTATATTTTTCACAACGCTTTCCAAACGGGTCCGGGTGTGTGTTCTGATCTGGGAGCCAGAACTGGTATCTAGGTCACCTAATCCAGTTCTCTCTCCAGTACGCCAATAAAATAACTGATGTTTATATAGTACTTTAGAATGTTCCAAGCTTTTTAAACACACTATGTCATCCAAGCTTCACAACATCTTGTTTGAAGGAGGTTTTACCATCCCCATTATGAGATGCTTTCATATCCATGATCTCCCTTGATTCCCGCAGCAATATTCCTGTGCTAGGCAGGGCTTGTGGTCTTCTCTCCATTTTACCAGGAGGATACTGAGGCCTAGAGGAACTAAGTGACTTGTTCAAGGTCACATGATTAGCAGCAAAGCTGGGACTAGATAAGAGGTGGGGAACCTGTGGCCTCGAGGCTACATGTGGCCTTCTAGGTCCTCGGATATGGCTTTTTGACTAAGTCCAAGTTTTACAGAACAAATTCTTCTATTAAGGGAATTTCTTCTGTGAAGTTTGGATCCATTCAAAGGGCTGCACTTGAGGACATAGAGGGCCACATGTGGCCTCAAGACTGCAGGTTGCCCACCTCTGGACTAGATACTAGGATTCCTGATTCCTAATCCACAGCTGTTAAATTTCCTTAATTTCTCTTGATCTAGGCCTTCCCCCTGCCTCTTCAACTCATCTCTACTTCCCAATTCTGGGACAGTTTGGGTGTCCTACCGGCCTCATCCCATTGCCGCGTGTCAGACATATGATGACCCTCAGGTTTGGCAACCAGTCTTTTATATACTTCTACCCCCTCCCATTTATTTCCCATGAGTTTTCCCTGGTCAGCTCTGAGCGCTTGCCTGACACTGACTGGGGCACCAGTACATTTGTCTATGCTACAATGAACCCTTGGGGACATCTTGGCCCCAATGACCTGGGCCTTTTTCCTTCCACTGCCTTCTTCTACCAAGTTTATGGCAGTTCCCACTTTCCATCATGGGAGAAAAATTTTGGTACTTTATGTTTTACATTTCAGTTTTGTCAGATATAACATAATAATTATATATGTCGTGCATATATTAATATTTACAAGCATTACTGCTTGGAGGAGATTCAGATGATAGAATTCCTCTTGCTGGTCATGACTCTTTCTCCCCAGGCAAGGGTTTCATACATGTTTATAACATTTAAAAATGAAGACAAAATTCCATAGTCAAGATTAAGCCAGAGTTCAGAGTTTGGGTGATAATCTTTGACATAGCAGACAGAACAGAAGTAACTCAAAATGTGGAGACACCCTAGAGAATTTTTTTCCTAACCCATTCAATCTGATCAAGGGGTAAGGAAAGAAAAATGACTCTTAATTGGATTAGCCACAGCAGCTCCTGCCCTTGGCCAGTCATCACTCTGGATCATTTTCAGGGAGACCAGAGTTCTTCCCCAAACTTTGACTTCATTTCTCTTTGGAAAGTGGTTAGGCCTTTGAATTCCAGGCTAGGACAAGGTCTCCTTGGCATTTATATACTCACAAGGTTACACTGTTATGGTCCAAAGACTTCAGACACTGAGAAAGCATGATTTCTTAATATTTCTAAAGTGGGAGGGAGCATTTAGTATCCTTCCACATCATAATCTGGCTCTTTGGAACTTGTTGAATTCATAAAGGAAAGGAGACCCTTTGGCTACTCTAGTAGATACATTCCCCAAAACTTGAATATAAATCAAATTTCTGTAAATTGAATCATATTTGAAAAACATGTATGGAGTTCCCTAATTAATGGACTCCTGCAGTGAATCCCTTTATAAAGTAAAGAATCCTGTAGAGCAAACAGTCATCCTTTAATTTATCCTCATTGTAAATCTACTTCCCTGTATAAGACTTGTTAAAAAGAAAGCTTAGCTGGGTGTGTAAAGAAAAAGTGCTTTGCTGAAGATGAGAAGGATGTTATTGCTACGGCAATAAGGTGGGGGCGGGGGAAGGGAAGTAAATGACTCCTAGTCTAGCTTTCTAGGAAGTCTACAGAACACTTTTTCTTTTCAAAAATTTTCTTCTTAAATTTTCATTAATAACTTTGTTTCGATCTCACCTTAACTTCTGAATATATCCCTTCCCCTCTCCTACCCAATGAATCATCCTTTATTAAGAGAGAGCAAGGGGGTGGGAAAAGAGAGAGACAGAGAGAGAGAGAGAAACAGAGGCAGAGACAACAGAGACAGAGAGATAGAGACAGAGAGAGAGAGTTTGGTAAAACCAGAACACTGATTGTGTCAGAGAATATATACAATATCACACACCCATAATCACCTACCTTTGCAAAGAAAGAAGGGGAATACATTCTTCTAACTTTTCAACACAGTGTAAAACTGTTTCTCCCGCTAGGTATCTACACACCTCGACAGGGACCAGAAGTAGCCTCCATGTGACTTTGTGGGGAGCTTTCTCCTGCCTCCTGTGGTATTCCAGTTTGACCACAACTCACTCCTCTCCCATGGCTGTCCTGTTGGTTATGGAAAGTCTGGCTTTCATTTGTTTGGGGACCTCTGTGTCAGGATACCCTTTCAGTGTCCCTGAGCATCTGAGAACCTGTGCCAGGACAGACCCCTCAGCTGGGCCTCTTATGTCGAGGGACTGAAAGCCCACCCAGATGGGCAACTATTCCCTGTGAATCAGCAGTGTCCCCGAGAACCAGCTCCTGGATATGAAACCCATCAGGCCCGCTATATCTGAGCTGCCAACATTCCTTCCTGTTTCTAGTACCTGCATATTCACTTCACTGCTGTCTCCATTTGGTGCTATATAGATACAGTATTGGGGGGGGGGGAGTTTTTTTTTTAAAAGGACTAAATACTTTTCCTTTTTTTGTGCCCAACTTTAAGCCAGTGGAATTCCTAAACTCCTGAATAAAGGGGCAGGAGGCATTTTGTCTCAGGGATCCCCAGGCCAGTTCAATCCTTGGGAATTCGATGAGGCCTTCATGCCCGGTATCCTCCCCCAGCTGCTGTATAGTTATTCTAAGAGGATTCTGAATATCCATCCTCAATTCTTTCAGTCTCTTTAAGAAGGTCCATTTCTATTGTTTACAAGAAGGCTCAAAAAAAAAAAAAAAACAACCAAAAAAACCTCCTGGCTGATGCCATTTGCAAAACAAACAGATAACTTAGTCCTAGGGCTGGGAAGAGAGTTTGTTTAACAAAATATGTGATGCAAAATCAATGTAGCATATTGGAAAAGTGAAAACAGAAAACAAAGAGTGTTCCCAATCGATGAGCCTTCCAGAAAGAGTAATAAAGTACATTTATTTTCATGGGCAAAATTGAGTCCAAAAGTGCAAACAATGAACGTGGTGGGAGTAAGAGGAAGTTGGATGGGGGAATATATTTAAATGGGATCATATAACATAATATAGTTTTTGATGAGCTCTGTTTTCAATGGGCTTCTAAGTAGGCGATCCTGTGATCAGCTCCCAACCTGAAATCATTCCCTTGAGAAGGCAGATGTACTTTCAAGATGTCTGACGGGAAGTTCCTTTGGACATCTCTTCTTTCTTCTGTTTCCCTTTGTTGAGTTTTTGGTATCAACACAAGGAGGAAAATCCCTCCTTAGGTTTATGGAGGGAGGAGAGGATTACATAGCTCTGCACAGCGTCCATATTGTCTAGAGAGCAAAGTGACAATCCATTTGCAAAGAGAGTCGACCATTGTCCATTCTTCCTCAAAGCCTATGGGGGCAGAGACTCTTGGAGGGGAACGGGATCTTTTTGTTCCCTTTGTGACCTGGGAATGTGCATTCCCCGGTGCAGGAGTGGGGAATAGAGCTCAATAATAATTATTGTGCCAACACTAAGCTTGTACATACCGCCATATGTAACTGAGATGTTTGAGCATCAATAAAGATTGCCAAAAGATCAAGTGTTAATTGCTTGTGTATCTTCCCCTACTTTTGCAATTTTCTCTGCCCTCATTTGAGAAAAAATGTTTTCCTTCCTCGTCCATTTAATTTTTATCCTTTGAAACGGCAGCTACATCTGTCTAGTCTACTTGTCTCTGTCTAGTCTCTTCCAAGCCTTTTGTGTTGGGAGTGGTCCTCTTCCACTTGCCTGTGATATCTTTTTTTGTTTGTTTGTTTTGTTTTTTGGTGAGGCAGTTGGGGGTTAAGTGACTTCCCTAGGATCACAACAACTAATGTCAAGTGTCTGAGGTTGGATTTGAACTCAGGTCCTCCTAACTCCAGGGCCCAGTGTTCTATCCATTGTGAAACCTAGCTGCACCTTGCCTGTGATATCTTCCCTAGAATTTTAGCTCCTTGAAGGCAGGGAATAGTTTTGTCTTTCTTTGTATCCCCAATGTCCAACATAGTGTGTGTAGCACATAATAAGTGCCTAATAAATGCTTATTAACTGACTTACTCCACACAGCAGAATCCCTCACAGATCCCTGGAGAATATAGTTCCCCAAAATAATATACGTGCTAAATGTGTGCTAGGCTCTAAAGTCTCCGGATACGGTCCCAGTGACAGACTTTGCTTCCTGAGAACTACTCTAGTCAAATATAGAGAAATTTATCACTAGAAGTTTGGTCGCTAGGTAAAATTTTAAATTTTACCATATTGACCCATAAAACAAATAAAAATGATAATAATAATAACAATAATAAAAACAATAGCTAGCATTTAAATGACATTTTTGTAAGATGTTATGTATAATTTACCTCATTTGATCCTCAAAATAGCTCTTAGAGACAGATGCTATTATTACCCCATTTTACAGATGAGGAAACTCGTGCAGACAGAGATTAAGGAACTTGTCCAGGATCACACAGCTAATAAATGTCTAAGATGGAATTTGAACTCTAGTCTTCCCGACTCTCAAATTTAGCCTACCATGCTACCTAATTCTTCCACTTCTGAGATGATAGTGACACAGTGGCCGTCAATAATAGGACATCAACAACTTTTAATCCATACAAAGAAATAGATGGCCCTTCAGGGCAATTTGGGGAAGGAGACAAAGCATAGAACTCCTTTTTATCTTTAGAAAATCTTTATGAGAATGGTCTATGCCTGCATCAAGCATAATTGATAAATGGTCAAAGGATAAGAACAGTCAGTTTTCCCATGAAGAAACCAAAACAATTTATAGTCATATGAAAAACTGCTCTAAATCATTATTGAGTAGAGAAATGCAAATCAAAACAGCCTTGAGATATCACTTCATACCTATCAGAATGGCTAAAATGATTGAAGAGGAAAGCAACGAATGTTGGAGGGGATGTGGAGAAATTGGGACACTAATTCATTGTTGGTGGAATTGTGAATTGATCCAACTATTTTGGAGAGCCACCTGGAATTATGCCCAAAGAGTTGTTGAATTGCCTATACCCTTTGACCTGGCAATAACACTACTAAGTCTGTTTTCAAAGATGATTAGATGAAAAGGAAAAGAACCTATATGTTCTAAAATATTTATAGCAGCTCTCTTTGTGGTGGCAAAGAACTGGAAATTGCAAAGATGCCCATCAATTGGAAAATGACTGAACAAGTTGTGGTATATGATTGTGATGGAATGCTACTGTGCTATAAGAAATGATAAGTTCAATAATCTTTAAAAACATGGATAGATTTGCATGAAATAATGAAGAATGAAATAAGCAGAACCAAGAGGAATGTTGTATACAGTAACAGCAATATTGTTTTAAGAACAACTTTGAGTGAATAAGTCATTTTGACTATTGTAAATACTCAAATTAACTACAAAGAACATATGAAGGAAGATGCTATCTGTATCCAGAGAAAGAAATGATAAATAGAAGTGTGTATGGAATAATTTTACATTTATATTATATATATGTATATATATACACACACATAAATACATATTTGTGTCTAATGGTATCTAACTCTAGGGTGGGGGTGGGGAAGAGAAGAAAATAAAGAAATTTACATGATAACTTTATTATATATTTAAAAGGAATAGCAAATTGTACATAATAGATTTTTAGTTTCATGTGCAATCATTTTTTATTATACTATGTTATGGAAATACTTGTCTTATTCCATAAATTAAAAAAAAAATTTAAAAGGTATACTTGATACATGTGTACATAAAACATATATTATCATATAATATAAACAAGTGAAGGGAATGGGTAGGTCTTTATAGAGAATTTTTTATGGTAGATTATATTTTCAGTTACTGGGGTGATTTAGAGATGCAAAATATATAAGATCCTACTGAATCTATTGTTTGTTGATTAAAAAAAAAAAGAGTAGAATCTACCATTTTGTAGACCTCCCCCAAAGAAAAAACTAGATTGAGAGACCAAAAGGTTTTCTAAAAAAAATTGTCTTTCATGCATAGCTTAAAATGGGCGGCAGGTAGTGGTCCATAGCAAGGCAGGCTGAGGACAGGGTAGGCATGGCTTTCTTTCAGCTCTCTCCTCCCTCAGGGGAAGGGCCTTTCTTTTTGAACACAGTGTACCCAGAACGGTGGCTGTTAGTTTGAAAGTGAAAGTGAGCCCTCTGGCAGAAGGTCATTCTCACGACCTCAGGAGTCAGATAGTACTAGAAATAAATAATAAATTTCATATACTAGGCTTGTACAACCTAGTGCTGTACTGTCATGTTATTCTAATTGCTTTAGGCACCAACATCCACTCCCATAGACTAAATTTTTTATCTCTCTAGAATAAGTTTTGCTCTTTCCCATCCTTATTTATAAACTTTAAATAAAATATATGAACAACTTAGCATTTCTGTAGGCCAACAGGGTCTTATAGTAGATAAATGAGTCCTAAACAAAAGCAAAAGATACAGAATAGAGAAGCTAGCATACTCAGATAACTGGAAGAGGGAAGGCTGGCTTTTCTAGGAATTGTGAGGTCCCCAGGTCAGTTGTGTTCTCTGGGCCAACCCTCACTGCTCCAGAGCTTTGGATTCTAGCACTACTCCTGCAGCTCAGTGGGTTAACAGAAGAGTGTCCATTCAGATCTGCCTGCTAGCTTTCTCAAAGCTTATCTCTCTCTTTTAAAAAATTTAAATTGATTTTATTTCCATGAAGATCTGTATTTTCTTCCGTTTCTCCCTCCCTAAGAAAAACAAAAATCCCGTTACAAACATATATAGTCAAGCAAACAAAAAGAATTTCCCACATTGCCCTTGTCCAAAAAAATTATGTCTCCATCTGTACTCTGAGTCTATCAACTCTCTGTCATGAGGCAGGTAGTGTGGTTCATCATGATTGCTATGGAATTCTGGGTGATCATTTTGTTGATTACAATTCTTAAGTCTTTCAAAGTTGTTTGCCTTTACAATATTGTTGTTATTGCTAAATTGTTCACTTCACTCTGCATTAATTCATGCAAGCCTTCCCAAGTCACTCTGAAAACATCTCTTATAACACGACAATAATATACCATAACTTGTTCAACCATTCTCTAGTCAATGGTCACCACTTTCCAATTCTTTGTCATCACAAAAGAATTGCTATAAATATTTTTGTAGGTGATCACTCTCAT